CTCGAAGCAGGAAAAGAACTGTTTTACAGATTGTTGTTGAGAATCTGTCTCGCATACTGTTACATATCAGTTATTAAAAAACAATTTCATCCTTTTACCACAGTTTTTAATTTGGGAATTTCATATTCTGCATTTAATTTGTTTGTACATGTTTTTTGACAAGTAAGTTGGGAAAGATTTTTTACTTAAATATGTTGTTCCAAATGGCTTTAAAATGTTTATTGCTGTGTGGGAAACGTCAAGATATTTTTCACGAATCTACAACCAAAAGTTTGGGAGCTACGCTTGCTTTAATTTGGATTTTAATGTCGAATCTGTTGATATGCTGATAAGTTGTTCCCTTATCGTATTACTCGAACTGATTTTTTATCCAGTTGTACTTAGTTTTTGTTACTGGAAAATATTCTTTTATAGTTTTATCCAATTGAAAAATGTGCTCCATGATACAGTTTTTAACACTGTCGTCTAAGTTAAATTTGTTTTCCATTAGCAAACTGTTTGGTTTTGCATAGCACTGCATGTCATTCTCTTTGACATATGATGAACTCATGTTAAGTTTTAAAATTAATGTATAACTAAATGTATCTTTATACTTTTTTAGTTAATAAACACTAATCAACTAGTATGAGTATATAATTTTCTTTTCGATTATTATTTTGACTCGTAAAATCCTGGGAATTGACTCTCGGAATTCTGGGGTTCCACGGAACACAGGTTTGAAGACCACTGTCTCATATTTACTCTTCTAACGTTTTTCTAACGTGTCACTCTTCTAAGGTTTCAGTAGTTTTAGTGTTTATGTTAATATAATGATTTAAATTTCACTCACCCATTTATTATGATGGCATACACAACATAGAATCTATTACCTTTAGCTTATAACGAATAATTGAATACCAATAACTTAACAACACCTGCTTCTGTCAACTTAAAGTTTTGCACATATTAGTTCAGTTGCGAATACTTCATCACATGGTGGATAATATAATGCAGCCACTTCGGGGACTAAATCGTCGCATCTTGTATAAATACAAATTATGAGAGATGTAGAATGTCTTTCTTCTGTACTGATTAAATCTTTTGGATTGACATAAAAAGTAAGAAACTAATATTTCTCCATGGCATTGCTAACCAAGATAGGGATGGAAGATATGGAGAAAGTATTCACTGAAGCAGAATTTTCTGATATCCGCTTCAGTACTTTTCTCAAGCACCTCTAGAATTCGGCAAATTATGTGGATTCTGAACCCTTTACTCGCACAAAAATCACTCTCATGACAACTAGTCGTTTCATCATTTTCCCTTTCAAAATGAGGCTAGTTTGGCTGTGTTTACCGTGTGAAATCAACCTTACTCAGAACATTATTATCAGGCATCATAACAGAAAGGATGTTCGGATAATTCAGCAAGGTTTCTCAACTTCAAGAAGAGCTCATTATTTCGAAGCTCAGCAGACTTTCTTTATTTTGTGGCTAAACCAGAGAGCAATTTAGAATTTAAGAGGTTAAAAAAATACTTCAGATTATATGTTATGTAAAGGAACATATGTGTTCGTAGTATTCATTTCCCTCCTTCTAAATATAAAATAAGCTATGCTGTATTGCTACTTTTAGAGCTTGACTTTCTTTGGGAGCATAAACTAATTCCAAACACCTTAACTAACCCTCTTGGTGATGTAACTAAAGTAACAGTCAAATTTAAACTAGCAGCCCAAAACTACGCAATTAAATTTAACCGTAAGCTGGCTCAAAAGCTCTAACCAGCAACAAATCAAATTTCGGCAGCAATGACGCAAAGCCGAATTATCCCAAACTTATAATAGCTGGCATTCTTTCTACGTGTCCACAAGAGACAGAAACACGCTCTGCCTTACAATCCCAAAACCTTAGCTTAAATATACTGTAACTCTGTTTACAATCTAGTGAGGAAGCGGAAAGGTGAAGTTGTAGTAAGGGCTGAAATTATAAATAACTGGCTAATTCAAAACTAAATCTTACATTATTTATTTTTAGAAATAGAACGGAACATAAATATAGTTCAACAAAAGTATTCCGACAGTTTTGATTTCCCTAAATAATGTCAAAAGTTTTAAATGCTTTAAACTGAAACTACAAAATGTGTTTTTCTTTGAAGCATAAAAATATGCAACGTTTCTTTTACACTAAACATTTTTCATTAAAGTAAAGCATTCAGCCTAGAAGTTAACATTTTCTCGTTTGGAAGGGAAAATCATATTCCAGATATGATTGGATATTTACTATTATATCAAATAAAAATAAATTATTAAAATTTATCTAATAATATTTTCTTGGATTATAATCAGTTTTGAAAAAACGCAATTTAATCTTTTTGGCATGGATTCAACTGGATGACCTGTTATTTTATAGCCTAAATTTTTCTCCTGTTGTTTTGCAATTCTGATTTCAATTGTTGTTTCAAGGAAATATTTTATTTTCAAATTTAATATTTAATGTTCGACCATAGAATTTACATCCGAAAATTTTGAGCATATCAAGAACATTGTGTAAAATTAGTATGTTTATAATAAATATTACTTCAGAAGGAACCGCTTTGATAATTTACGTTTAATACATATAAAATTGCTAACATTATTTTCAGAAATCATAATTGTGCCATTAATATCATTTGTATAAAAAGATTAGAAAAATAACTTGTAGCCAATGTAAGTAATTATATTTTTGAAACTACCCATCATTTTCTTATGTATGTTGCAACTCTGCCTGAGTAATTCAGTAGTATTTTATGTCGTATGCTTTTTAATTCAGATAATGTAATTAGTGTTTCGCAAAATGAACTCTTCTGTCCCCAATGTGCATTACATCAAACAATTTACCTGAAGATAGGTTAATTGTTCTAGGTTATATTAAATTCGCCTGTAGCTATTGCAATTGCATAGTATCCATAAAATAACCTGATTAAAATGTAATTATGATAATTCGTTAAGCGATTAAAACTATACCATAAATCATAACTAATACGAAAACTTGTTCATATAATAACAGAACAAAATCAGAATCTCCAATGCGGCCAGACAACAAAGCCTGCTACCATTTTTTTTTTTTTTTTTTCTTAGAAATTTTGACTTCCATTCAAAACTAGCTCAGTGTTGTTCACCTTGTGTTCCGCTCATCACTCAAACCTCATCGGTGAAACATTCCATGGCTTTCCAAAAGACGGAGGAGGAGTAAAAAGTAATAATAACATCTTTTCTTTTTAGCATACTCAAAAACCAGATCTGGAAGCATTGTTCTTATAAACAAGACGAACCGAGCAAAGAGAGAAAGATGGAAGATGAAGGGGGTCGAAGTACTAAAAAAAAAAGACCAGAATCAACGGTTGATTATGTATGCATAATTTCAGACGGAACTTTTCTTACGAGTAGAAACTCGTTTCATGAGGATTTTTGTATCGCTTTTATTATTATTATCATTCTTTTTTCTAACTTTTTCCATCTGTTGGTGGTTGCTGGATATTTTTTTAAAGAACAAAAAGGCTGGTTTAAATTCGAGTCAATTTTTCCCGCCCTCATAGGCTACTAAGATGTTATATGTGAGGAAAGTTTCGAAACAATCTGAGCCGCTTTCTTTCGACTCCTTCCTTTCAGATACTCAACTGAATTTTTAAGAGTCTTTTCTTTTGGAATGCAGACAATCGACAGGTCAGAGCTTTACAATTCTGCGCTGCCTTCATAAGTCGTGTCGATTTTCTATGGCAATGATTTGGTTTCGAATTTAAGCTAAAGAATGAGGCGTCATATAAAATAATAACATGGCATTCAGAGTACGAAAATTTGGGGCCAAAAGTTGAAGGCTAAAGTTCTGAATTCTTTAATCGCGTATTTTCACAATAAAAAAAATTGAAATTAAAATTCATAAATTTTAAAACTTATGTAATTCATTATTTTGTCGTTCCGAATATTTACTCAATACCTTATTTTAAAGGTAATTAAACTTTAAAATGCTATTTTGGATGTAATTCTTGTTCGAATAGGACTTAATTTTAGTTGGAACATACTTTTTTAAGTGTAAGCGCTGTTATAACACATTCTGTAATATTTGAAAAATTCAGTATTATTTACAGGAAAAAAAAAAGATTTATAACTGAAGTAAATTCAAAGTAGTTCTTTTTACATACAATATTAACTGCAAAAAACAACATTTTAAAGCATTTATTTATCTATTTAGTCATAAGAATTTACACAGTTTAAAGCAATAAATAATTCGAAACTGAGAAAACTATATTCAGTTTTCAAATTAATAGTTTTTTTAAATGTAGACAGACATTCACAGAAATCATTTAGAGCACATATTTTAATTATTATATCGATATGAAATTTAAATATTTATCTACGTGTTATTAACAGTTTGGCTCACAATTTAGGTAACCAGATAGTTTAAAAGTCTTCTTTAATTATTCTCTATTCCCAAATGACAAATAAACAAACAAAAAATAATTCAGGAAGTATCAGTGGTAGTGCTTGTGAGAAATGGACATTAGGTCACAGCACAAAGCTAGCAAACATCACATCCGTGTTAATACTTCTTATCAGATAACAAAACAGTCATAAAACATGTTTAATGAGATTTATCATTACGATTTATTTGGAATCTGTATAGGAAGAGAAGCCAGAAAACCTTTGAGCTCTCTCTGATCCCTACATAAATAGCAGCTACGAAGCAGCAAATTTATCAATCTTTATTCCATTATCGGAAGAATGCCTCAAGTGGCATATCCATTTCTTCAGTCTCTAAGGTGTCATAAAACAAATCAGCAATTTCAAAAGATAACATCATTTTGAATCAAATCAAATCAAATCACTTCATCAACGATTATGAATGGGATTTTTATAAACAAGGTATCCTAACTCAAAAAGGAAATGGTGATAGAACTGTAATTATCTGTAGCGTTGTTGATAACTGCTATCTTCGAATTAATGCTTATTTCCCGCTATATCTCATTCTGAACTCATTCTTTTGCAGTACTAAAAACGATGTGGTAGACAATAACACTGTCGTCAGAGCCAGAGGATTACCTTGGCAATCATCTGATCAAGATATTGCGAAGTTTTTCAGAGGACTCAACATAGTCAGGTAAGAGGCAACTTTTTAATCTTAAGCACATTAATTTTGTTATTTCAATTCATTTAAAGACTTTTAGCTTAACAAAGCATGTGTTAATTTAGCCTGCTTAAAGCTGTATATTATTCGAAAAATATAAGAAGAGTAGTTGGAAACAAAAAGATTCGTATGAAAATATATATCCTTCATATTTCAAAAACGATATAAAAATGCTATTGTCCTATCCTGTTATTTAGTAGTGCTCTTAAATCTTTTCTTTTTTAAGTTACTTCGTTTTAAGACACGCAAACATACTGTATTAGCAAGACTTTTTATTTGTTTTATGGATTCAAATTAAGACTTTTATTCTTAACAAAGCATGTGTTACTTTGCCTGTTTAAAATTTTATTTTATTTGAAAAATAACACAAAAGTAAGCTAAAATCAAAAATTGGAATAAAAGTATATTTCTTTTAAATTTCAAATAACAATGCAAAAGTGGAAATCGGGATTCCTTTCGTGTAAAACTGTCCTATTCTTTTATTTAGATTGTTTAGATAGCTTACATTTTTCCTTTTCTACACTGCACATTTTTAAAGCTGACAAACATATACTGATATGACTTTAATTTTTAATACTATGCAAGAGACATTAACTTTGTTTGTAGACAAATATTTATTCTCGGTAATTTTGTGTTATACCATTTATTCTAAGTGATAAAAGCACTTTTTTTTTATATTCTAAGAAAATGAAATCGAGCGATATTATACACAATTATCACTGTTAAAAGCTGAATTAGTGGAGTGTGAAAAATCGGTAACCACAGTGAAATTACTTTAGATAATTCATATTGCCAATTGCAAAATACTTGTAATATCTCTTCTTTTATTTATAGTGAAATTAAATTTTAATAAAGAAAAAAATTGTATTAAAATTATTCAGGTAATATCTTCGAGTAAGTAATCATATTCATTAATCTAACTTAGCATATACGTGCTGTTTTAAGTCAAAAAGACCGTCGGGAATATCCATATCAAATTTCATTAAATATAATGGAAGATTCATTTCATAAGATACTTAGATACCGGCTGATTTCATAAGATACCGGCTTTCAGAATTTGATTTGATTGTTAAATTTATTAGGAAAAGTTAAGAAATTTCCGATTAGTTATAAAATTAAATTCAAAACTGCATTTTTAAACCAAAATTAATTTTCATGAAAGTAAGACGACTTTATTTGCGTCATGAAAAATTTTTAAAATGTATTCGTACATTAATTTGAATATAGTTATACAGGAATTTTCTCTGTGCATAGTCAGAATTCGAAGCTGAATATATATAAAACTTAAAAATGGCAAGAAACATTCAAACAGTCTGAGTAGCCCAAATTCTACTTATGAAATTGCACACTTCTGAAAAAGTTGCTAAACAATGCGATTTCATATAAACGTTAAAAATGGACTTGAGTTGCCTCTGTAATCTGAGAATCAAACAACCGAAGAAAATCTGCACAAAAGCGCACTTCTGTACCGACTTGTAAAAAATGAAAAACTGTTTAGGAAGACAACAGGTTTAGTATGTATGTATAAAAAAACTATGCTTCACTTTCATAATCGACTCGACTTCAAAAATCGTCCGTGACGAGTAGTTAAAATTTCCTTTTTCTTACTATGAATAAACAGAGAATGCGGAAGCAATTTATTTCCAATTCAGGTTTAAACGAGTTTTTGACTTTTGCTCGGATTATAATTCGAGACCCTGGCAAAAAATATCTCCTGGATCTAAACCTTTTAGTAACTCGAAGTTTAAAATTAATAGGGGTGAAATTGCCTTTTTTTCCCTTTCTTTTCTTCTTTTTTTTTAACCTTACTCTGTCCTTCATTTGGATTTCTTTCCTTTTTTTTTTTTTTTAAATTGATGAACACTTCAAATTTCTAACATATAGACTAGCTAGCTTAAAAGTAGGAATTTGAACAGTACTGATCAGTCGAGGTTAAACAATAAAAGTTTGTAATCAAATAATAGCTCTTGAGATAGCTTTTTGAAATGAGATAATGTTAAAAGATAAGGATGGAAAATTGCTTCCCGTCAAATGCTTACTTTACTTACTAATCTTTCACAATATTTCTTTTATATTTTTTTTATAATATCGTACGTAAATAATGTATACTTGATGCGTTTTATGGCCATGTCTTTTTTTTTTATCCCGATTACCAGCATAGTGTTCAATGCTGCACTAATCGGGATGGAAATGCTATGCTGGTAATCGGGATTCCTTTCGTGTAAAATTCTTTGTAAAAGGTATACACATTGTATGGGATATGAACATTTTGAATCGGTTGCACATGCGAAATTTTTATGGTTACAATGAAGATGTAGCCATCGCTGGTTAAACTTTCCTTTATTCCTGGAAAAACATTCTTAAAAAGGTACACTGGGGGAAAAAAAAAAAAAAAAAAAAGACAGTGCTATAATTCCTGTTTTACTGAGCCGATTTTGACGAGTTTTAATTTGCGTGTGTTTCATGTCTCGAAAGTGTGACTTAGGATATATATTATATTTATATATAGCATCATTCTAACATAAGTATTTTGACACAAAATCGGACTCTTTCTGAAATGAAATGCCAATTTTTTTCTATATTTCGATTTAATGACTTAAATTATGCCACCCTGCCAAGTTTTGTAAAAATCTCATGAGTAGTTTTTAAAAAATTAGCTTTCAAATCTTTAGCTCGTTAATGTTAATTGAATTTGATATATATTTATTAATCTCTGTTTTTCTTATTAATCTTACTTGATTCCTTCTTCCAGAATTCGAAATTTAGGCTTAATCCAAATATAATTTGCACATTTTTTATGATTCATTTTTAAAATTTGTATTTTTGAATATTTTTTACAAATTTTTCGGAAAAAATGTTTTATTTTCACCTACAAAATTTTTAACATTGGCTTAAAGAAGATGCATTTCTAGGTACACCTGCAAAAAACTAGAGTTTTTTATTCAAAATTTTCTAAGATGTACATGAATTTCATATTGGAGCGTTTTGAAATTCGGCATCTTGTTTTTGAGCGATAATGAAGCCAAATGTGGTTTACGCACTTTGTTAAAATGATTTAGAAGTATGAACGATGACTTTTTTCACTCTTATCTGCAATGGAAAAAAAAAAGGGGGGGAATAGGTTGCTATAAATTAAGAAGTTCGCCAAGTATATTATTCTTGGCGAAAACTGAAGAAAATACGCCTAGATAAATTTTTGAATTTCTCCCTGAATTTCGCACCAAATTTTACAAAATTTAATATTTAGGCATAATTTGAGTCGTAGGATCGAAATATGGAAAAAAACTGGCATGTCGTTTAAAACAAAAAAGTCGATTTTGTGTCAAAATACCTATGCTAGAATGATGCTATATATATATCTAATATATATCTTAAGCCGCGCTTTAGAGATATGAAAAATACAATTTGAATTTCCGGCCCAGTAGGCCCAGTAAAATTGGCCGGCCCAGTAGAACGAGAGATATAGAACTGCCCCCTTTTTTTTTCCTGCGCAGTGTACGTCTATTACATCTTCGAAAGCCGTGGCATAAGACACTTTTGTACTTCGTTATAAATTCATTCTGTGTTCCCAATTTGAAACACAATACTGCCGTAAAATATTTTATACTCGGCATAAGATGATGACATATTTCATTTTGATACAGAAAGCCTCCTTTTTCTTAAAATTAAACTAGAATTTTACAAGGTTTCTAACTCGCAAAGTTGAAATTTATGATCTTGTCAGAATGGAGAATTCTCGGCAAATGTGGCAAGAAAACAACATCTGTAAGATATTTAATATGAAAAGCTGCATGATGTAAAATCAGGTGACATTATGAATTTCGAAGAAGCTATTCGTACATTTATAGATGGCGCAGGAAGCCAGCTTTGACCACGACTGGTTCAATGGCAACGAAAGTTCGTTTAAGAAAACATGACATACAGCACAGCATTAAGCGTGCCATGAACCATTAACCATTGAATGTAGAACATCTTAAACAGAATGATAAGCTTCGGAATTTTTGGAAAGTTCTTGGGCTTTCATATACACCAACTCTCTTAAGAACAATAATAAATTTGCCAAAATATGGACTCTTACATTCGCAAGCCTGTCGAATAGTGCCCGTATGTTAAAACGGCACTGATTCTACAGAGATCTTGGTGGCATCTTAAAACTTGCAAATTTCGCTTTCCGTTTTAAGCATATCATATGAATACACTATTAATAGATACGTAATTACGCTTATCTGAAATCGGATTCATGATTTAAAATAAACAAAGGATTTTGAATTATTCCTTTTTTTGCTTATTTGTTGCCCACAGGCCTCTGTGATCTCGAAATTTTATGCAGTTTCATTAATTTCAAGAAAATACTTAATTGCGATTTATTTTCAGAGGTGGAGTAGCTTTGTGTTTGAGTCCTCAAGGTCGCAGAAACGGAGAAGCTCTTGTCCGCTTCGAAAGTCAAGAACACCGTGATATGGCTCTGAAAAGACACAAGCACCATATTGGCCAACGGTATATCGAGGTGTACCGTGCTACTGGAGAAGATTTTATCAACGTCGCTGGCGGTGAGTATTATTATTATTATTATTATTTTCACACGCAATCTGACGCAAATAATAAACTGTCTGACGCAAATAATAAATTCTGAATTCGCGCATTACGCAGTACATGACTGAAATCCGAAAAGAGTTATTTTACAAAAAGAAATGAATTGTTAACAAAACGTAAACAAACTTGTTTGGAAATTTAAAAATAGAGATCTTACATTTTTTCAAAAAAAGTTGCTAGGAATTCTTTTGGATTCTAAAGAGAATCATTTAAATTTCCATTGTACCTAGAGATAAACCAAGTGGAAAGATATACCAAGTGGAAAAAAACAAGTTGTTTGGAAGTTTCAGCTGATGTTGAACAATAAGAAAGATTAGCGATACAGATATCGAGCACTGTCGGAAATCCAATATAACTTTTGTCTTCCCAAAAAGCTTAATATTAACGGTCTGTCTTTGATTGGAAATCTTGCCTATAACTTAACAGTTGATTAATGCTCTTTTGTATTTTATGCGTTGCAGATACTGTATTCCTGCAATTAAGAAGCTAAGAAAAATATCTGCATTTTAAGTACGTCATACGAATATACGGGAGATGCTGACTTGCAATCGTGTTACATGTGGAGAAAAATTGGAAAGGCTCATGTAGCCAGCTCATCCGCCGGGGTTGGATCCACATCTCTACCAGTATTCAACAGTATGCTTGATGAGCTGAATAATTTGTTTGTCTGTATATACATTAGTATTACCTTACATGATGCAAAGCACTACAAATGTTACACGCATTACTAAATATAAACACTGAACATGAAACGCTTTTGTAACAGATTTGTGCAATTTTTACAAAACTAAATGATAAAAAATTGACTAATATCTGCATTTATGCTACGCCCTCATGGCAAACTTTACTTTAAAAAAAAATTGCCTCTGAGTTTTTAAATTCCTGCAAGATCTATATATTTTTCCAACATATTTATTTGGGAAAGGGGGGTAGTCGTCTCATATGGAGTCGCGTAGTTCAGATTCGCATAGTTCGAGTATCAGTTGCCTTGCTAATCCTGCACTTAGTGCATATTACAGCGTAGCATAAAATGCAGTAAAATAAAGAGAAGCATAAAATTTATGATAATTTTTCCAGTATTTCTATTTAAAAAATGTACAATATTTATTTTATTCTCATATGTTTTTCCCTTTCAGGCAATAACAATGAAGCCCAAGCCTTTTTGTCTAGAGGTGGGCAAGTTATTGTAAGAATGAGAGGTTTACCATACGACTGTACACCAAAACAAGTGGTAAGATTAGTTTCTTTTTTTTATATATATTTTGTCTGGAGTAAACACAAAGATGCTAATAAATGGAAATTTATGCGCAACAAATGCCGACTAAAATTCGGAAACATTCTTAATCTCCTACAAAATTAACTGCCACAGTGTTTGAAAATTTTTAAATAAAATTCATGCACAAGTAACTTCAAACGAAACAAAGTCATGTATAATACTGTAACTGAAAAGCTGAAAATTTATTTTATGTAATAAGCAACGTTTACATTTCTGCAACATAAGTTTGCTTATATAGTGTAAACCGGAGTAGGTGTGTGCCATATGTATATTATTGATCTATCCGATGTTTACGTGAAAGAATCGCACATGTCCTATTTCAAATCAAACATTAAAAGTACTAATCTCGAAGAAAAATATATCGAACATCGAGTCTGGTTAAAAATTCGACCTTTTGCCTCAAATATTTAGCAGCCTTGTGAGCGCAAAGATAAAGTACCTTAAAATGCACTAATAATGTTATCTCAACGAACATTTCTACTTCTTTATCGCAAATATTGCTAAACTAAATTCAGGGATATGTAAGCGATTTTTTAAATTTAATTTACGAAGCAATTTTACGACAAAATTCAAGTGTAAATGCATGTCGGGTCATCGAACTTTTTGAAGTTTAGGGACTGCTGCTTTAGCGAATATGGTACGCATAGTATCAGTATAAATTTTACATGCACTGTACGAATAAAAATTAGGTGTCCGCTGTTCTTTATACAATAGTTACTGTATTGTGATAGACTGAAATCGAACCCACAGTACTTTGAAGGATATCGGAGAGATAAAAATTCCTTCAGTGACTTCCTTTGACGCTGTTTTCCAAAGAAAATATTTCAAATCAACCATCAAATGCATATCTCATATATCTCGTATTGTAAAAATACTAACATAAAAATCCTTAATCTGAATTGTATTTCTTGTCCACAGTTGTCTTTCTTCGCCAATGGTGAAGTTCCATGCGAAGTCATGGATGGTGAGGAAGGAGTTCTATTTGTCAAAAAGGCGGACGGCCGAGCTACTGGAGATGCATTCGTCCTCTTCGAAAGCGAGGAAATGGCAGCAAAGGCACTCCAGAAACACAGAGAAGTCATTGGTTCTCGGTACATTGAGCTTTTCCGCAGCACAACGGCTGAAGTTCAGCAAGTAAGTTAAGCATGTCCAACTAATCATAATAAATCTGGAATACGATAATTTAAGACTTCGTTATCAGATATTTGATGTCTTTGCAATGATAATATTCATTCAACGTATCATAGTTTTAATAATAGCAACGAGCGTTATAAAAGGATGAACGTATATATCATATTTCCACACGTATTTTTTAAACCACGACTTGTTTTTCGTCCCTTACTTTCGTAAGACAATATTCAGAGAAAAAATAATATTAGGTTATTTTTCATATTAAAAATACGAAAATGGTGCATTAAACGGAAGCATATAAAAGAAAGAACTGAAACATATTGTCTAGAAAAATGAAAGGATAGGCGTAATTCCCAGAAGCTCCTAATAAAGATCCGAAAAAATTTGTTCAAGAAAGGTAAGATTCTGGAGTTTTTGTCAGGTTATCTCAGTTAATAAGCTTTTAAAGATGGTTATCTGAGAGCCTTATACAAAGTAGGTGGCTGGAAGTATCCACAGTTGGTGTCTAGGGTCAATCTGGACTTTAACCAAACTCCACAAATCTAAATGTAACACTCAACTAGGCAAAAATACACGAATGGATCATTGAGGCATGGAAATTAATTTCTTCGAAGACAACTGAAAATCATTTCAAGAAAATCTAATTTTCCAATGCCATTATTAATTTTGAACATGATTTTATTTGCAAGACGCTGAAAATACAACGTCTTTAAATTCGCAATATCGGGCAAGAGCGATATACAGAACCAAGAAAATTAAAGAATTTTTTAATGTTTAGTTTTAACATACCGAATAACAAGATTAATTACCCAATGTGAAGGATTCATTTCACTGTCGGATCAATAGCCAGACGTAATTCTTTTTATTTGTGCGTTCCGCAAAATCGGCAAAAATGAGCAAATTTGTAGCAAAATTGGACTCTTTATAGGCTATTTATTGAAAAAAAAATTCAAAATATTCGAAATATGTATGTTAAATTTTAAATACTAAAACATGTGTTATAAAAATCATATCTTCTTCTGTTAATTAAGATATCTTGCAAGAATAGATACCAGTACAGCTATATCTTCGAAATAATTCGCACATTTTTCTTCCTTTGATTTTCGTGCCAAGAGCAAGTACAAAAAATACGCGCGGAAATATGTTCGTTGCACGAGATAAATGAAAAGTACTATGTTTTATTTTATTTCATTTTTAGTTGACATTTGTTAATGATCATCCTCTGAAATTTCCACCTTTGGATAAATCTTTTCCACCTTTTCCTAAGCTTAAAATAAAGTATTACGATGTACCGAGAAGAAACAGGCAATGAAGGTAAAAAAAAGGAAGAGATTTATTCAACGAATTAAATCGAGTAATGAAAATGAATGAAAAGGATATCTTATGGGAAAGAAGATGGTAGATATTAATTACGCGAAAAGAAATTTGAAAGAAAGATTCAAATGACAAGTTCTTTTAGGTATCAGAAATTGGTATTTATTGAAAATTCTGTAAAACTCAAATCATCCGGACTTACTCCATTTAACAGCCCGGCCGATATTTGAAAAATTCTTATAATTGCTTAATGTTTTTTTCTGTAAGCCAAATACATATTAACGGAAATGCAAAGGATAGTTACATTATATAAACAATAATGCGAAATATTATGCTTTACCTTCAAGACTAAAAATTCATACTTTAAGAAGTAATTTGATGTATACCCAAAGGCTAATAGAAAGCAACTGACTGTAGTTCTGCTGCATATTCTAAGATAAAAACACATTGCTGGAGAGGGAACTGACAGAGTGTTATGGCGCATTTTAGTCTGTTTTTAGAAAAGGAGTTCTTGTTACTTTTAAGCAATCAATCACAGAGTAAACAGCAATCCATAGTGACTTTTGCATGAATGTTTGTAGGCTGGTTATTTGTCGAACATTTTACTTAATCCGCAACTCATATATATCCATCTATTAATTTGTTCCAATATTCTGGGTTACAGAATTAAAATCGTTAAGTGCAGAACACAAGTTTAAATGTCTTTTGTCCACGGGGAAGTCCGGGGACAAAAGACAAAAGTCCACGGGGAAGGAGAACACATTATAGAATACCTGATTCTAATGTGATAATCTTAATTCCTCATTCTAAGATGAGCATTAAGGCAAGCATGTCCAGTTAGAAAACGAAATGATGCTATAATTATGGCACGAGAAGAATCTGAGATATTATATACCTTACCAAGAAGACACTGCTAAGCCTTAGCTTTCACGCACAAATCTGAGTCATGAATCTTGTTAAATTACAAAAAGTGTTTTAAATAATGATCATAGAATTTTGATTCATACACATTCACTTTAATGTTTAAACTGTATAGATTTTAGTAACATACACTATTTAAATAATTCTCATAGCATGTAATATTTTATATGTTTTTCACTTTGTAGCTAACTTACAATATTCAACCTATTAATCGCAAAATATAGCGTCTGTTTTTAAAATCACAATTATATGAAAATAAAACGTGAACGTTCAGTGCATCTATAATAGTCTCGGAAGCGGAACACTTTAACAGCTGTTCATATTTAAGACTAAAACCTGTCTTCTTATAAATTTCCGAACGTCTCTGTAGGTTTCTTAAGAAGCTTCTTTTTGATCAGTTTCCTGCTGTTTTGGTTACAACTGACACTTTTTTCAGAAGACATAAGCAACTGTTTCTTCAAGAAACTGATTTTAATATTGATGCATTCTTTATAATGAAAAGGGAACATTTTTGGTAATACTTTTTAATCAGTTTCAAGCACTTTTAGCAACAGTTTTATTACAGTAGAAGACTCTTAAAGAAATTACGAATTAGTAATCCTTCATTGACTCACAATACCTTTAAATTCAATATTACTGCATGATTATAAAGGAGCATTTTATGTAAAAGGATATTAGCAATTCATATTTAGAATATTTTTGTCATTTTTTTAAACAATTGAATAAGTATGTAAACGAATTATTTAGTTTCTTACAAGTTCCAACACTTATTTTACTCCTCATTGATTTATAATTTATTGAATGTACTGGCTCTTGTTATATAGCCAAAATGCAAAATGCTTGCTAATACAATCTCACACTGCAAATTTTCTTAGGTCTTAAACCGGTGCATGGATCCAAGGACATACGAACAACCGCAGCCACTTCTGACCAACATTCCCCAAGTTCCATTAATATCACCACAGCTGCTGCCACCAGGTTCACGTAAAGATTGCATTCGTCTTCGGGGACTGCCGTTTGAAGCCCAGGTCGAACAGATACTGGAATTCTTAGGAGAACATTCTAAGAATATTGTATACCAAGGAGTGCATATGGTTTATAACGCACAGGTGCGTAAAGGTATTATCAAAATAAAACAAAGCGAAGAAGAAATAAACACATATAATTAGCAACAAATTTTTATTTTTCGCTACCGTAGGGGCACTAGTTAGTATTGGTAAAATCGTAAATACATTTGTTATTCAAAAACCCTATTAGTCAGTGTAAAACTTGATGCTTCTGAAGTAGAAGTTAACTAATTTTTTGCAGCGTTGTTCGAGCCGTTTGCAGTCTAGCGTTATCATGATGAAACAACACTTTCTTGATATTCACCAATCGTGGGCATTTTTTGATCAATTCTGAGTTTAGACGGCAAAGTTGTTCACTATAACTTCTGAATGAATCGTTTGATTTGGTTCTAACGGTTCAAAATGTCCTGAACGGGGTTCATCATCAATGCTGCTTTTCCCAACTTAAAATTTTTTAAACCATTTCTGGGCAGTCCTTACACTAATATAATGTGTGTTCACCATGTACACTATTATTTTTATTTTATTAATTTTTTATCGCTGCAAACCTGGCAGATTCACCACACGAAAATAAAAAATGTAGCACAGCATGCTTGTACAGATTATCTATATTTATCTTCTCTGAGTACTAAAATGCGTTTGATATTTACGAAAGTTGGTGATGAACTGAATAATATGTTAGTCAAACGATGACAAGTTTCAACAGGTTCAAAATTGTATTGTTTTAGTAAATGCGTCATAGTGAATTCCAAGCATACTTTTAATACGCACGAACTTTGGACTGGCTCGATAATAAAACAAATTCGAAATTCAAAATTCGGGCCTCCATGTGCAAAAGTTTGGGTGGCCGACTATGTTATTCAAAATTTGATGGCTTTAGGTACCGTCATTTTTTCACAATGCGAGGAACATACATATATATGCATTTTTATTATTTAATTTTTTTAAATATAATACAGGGCGGTAATATTTGGTTGCAACAATTTGAAAAGTGATTTGCTATTTAGAGTGAACTGATGCAAAATCCCATTTCGAGACTAATAGCCCCTTTTGTTTCAGCCACCAGAGCTCTCTGCCTGTCTGTGAGATATTATTTCGCAATGCGCAGATTGTATGCGTAGTTCGCATTTTGTTCTTGCATTCTTAAAACCCGCTAATTGTAACTCTGTCGTTTTACTTTGTGCTGTGTTGTGTTCGAAAGTTAAAACCGCCGAATAAAGGTTAAATTTACAGTCCACTCGCATTGATGTATTCTTAGGTTTATTAATTTAAAGTTAAGATACCGCTTCGCACATTATTTATTTGGTCGTCATACGCCGGAGCTTCGAGAAAAACCCGCGCTTGTGAATAAGAATTCTACGTGTCCGTAATGGAGTTGATAATGCAATTTCGGTTTAGAATTCTCAAGACTTACGGAATGCATACAATGTTCGAGGTGAGTGAAATAGCTTAACGCATTTTAATTGCATTTGAGATTTCCTTATTGCTACTATTGTTGTGTTTAAAGTATTAGTAAAATCGAGAATTTAGAATATTTTCAAAATGTCAGATATAGAAAAAAACGAAAGAAAATTTTGAAAACACAGTTAACTAAATTCATTGAGAGAATAAATTATGATAACTTAGATAATGCTGAAGCTGAATTAATCTTAGAAAAATGTAAAATCTTTAAGGAAGATTTTAAATCTCTATTTAGAGAAATTTATACAAATTGTGATGATGAAAAATAGACACTTTCGTTGAGGAAGAACAGTCGATTTTAGAGAAAATTGAGGAGGTTCACTTAAAAATTATTCGTAAGTTAAAGATTTTACAAGGTCGTAAATGCAAATGGCGACAAACCTGTCGTACCTGAATCAATCTCTGAAAGTTTAAAGTTACCGAAATTATCTTTACTTTACCACATTTAGCGGAAATTTAACTGAATGGATAACATTTAAAGATTTATTTAACGCTAGTGTTCGCAACAATCCAAATCTTTCTGGAGCTCAAAAATTACAATATTTAAAGAGTTCTTTGAAAAATGATGCTTATCGCATTATTCAGTCAATTCCCATAGCTGATCAAAATTTCAGTATTGCTTGGAATTTACTAGAAGAGAGATTTTCTAATAAGAGAGAACAGATATTTGCTTTTATTAAAAGAATTCTTAACGTTTCACAAATACAAACGGAATCTGCATCCTCGATATTAAGTTTAGTAGATAACGTAAACGAAATAACTCGCTCATTGGAAATATTAGATCAAAGGATAGATAATTTTAGTGATACTTTGTTGTTGTATATTATTTTGCAAAAACTTGACGTTTCGACAAAGTTGTGGTGGGAGCGTCAATTAAAAAAAGATGAAATACCAAAGTTGAATGACTTGATAGAATTTTTGAAGAATTACGCTAGAACATTACAGAACAGTAAACCTTTAATTAGTAAAACGCATAAATCAGATAAACCAGTGTATAATAGGGTTACTTCTCTGATTTCTAATTCTACCTGCTTATTTTGTAAAGAAGATCATTTTTTATACAGGTGTTCTAATTTTTTTAATTTACCAGGCAAAAACGAATAGAGTTTGTTAAGACTAATAAACTTTGTTTCAATTGCTTGTCTAATGTTCATAAAGTTAAAATGTGTAAGAGTGCAAACACCTGCAAGCATTGTTTTAAGCATCATCATAGCATTTTTGCATTTAGAAAATAATTTCAAACCAAAAAATGCATCTAGATTCCCTTCACCGGAAGCACAAGTGTTTGTTCCGAAATCGCAAATTAAACCAGAAAACAACTTGAGTGAGGTTTCTCCAACTGTTTGTGCAAACAACTATGAAAATAAACATTTTGGAGCTCATGCTAATGGTAAACGTAGTCATGTACTTTTGTGTACTGCTTTAATTAAGGTTCAAAACTCAAAAAAGAATTCATAAATTGTAGATGTTTACTAGATTCAGGTAGTGAAAAATCATTCATTCGTCGGAAAACAGCTATCAATTTAGGATTGAGCATAAAGGATTCGAAGATATTAGTGTCATGCTTAGGTACTTTCAATACAACTACTACTGGAGAAGTTGACTTGTTTTTGTTTACACCTCATTTTAATACTAATTACAGAATTTCAACATCCGCTTACATAATAGACAAAAAATTACAGGAAACATTCCAAGTGTAACATTACCTTTGAATTTATATGAAAATTTCCAGGATTTAACTTTAGCAGATCCTACATTTCATGAATCGGGAGAAATTGATATTTTACTTGGAGTTAATGTATTCCTTACTTTAATAAATGGCGAGGTAATTAAAAGGGGCAAAAATCTTCCATTTGCATGTTGTTCTAAGTTAGGATGGATAATTGCTGGAACTACACATTTTGAATTCCCAAACCGTAAGCAGGTTTCAGTCAATACGCTAAACGTAAACACGGAGGAATTAGTTAAATCATTTTGGGATTTGGAACAAATTCCCACATCGAAACCTTTAACTAAAGAGGAAAGATTGTGTGAAAATCATTTCGTGGAAAATCACGTGCGTAGTGAAAAGGGTCGTTACTCAGTAAAACTGCCATTCAAGCCTAAAAGAAATGAGTTGGGTAATTCCAGACCATCAGCCTCAGCCTTTCGCAACTTTCTTAGTCTGGAACAAAAAATTAATAAAAACTCCTGAAGTATATCAACAGTATAAAGACTTCATGTCCGAATATTTATCACTTGGACACATGGAAGAATTATCCGATGATAATCCAGATAAAGTAAATTTTCATTATTATATACCTCATCATCACGTGCTAAAAGAATCCAGTCTTACCACAAAATTACGCGTCGTTTTCAATGCTAGTGCCAAAACTACATCAGGGATATCGCTTAATGACACGCTAATGAATGGTCCCAAGGTACAAGACGACTTATTTACTATTCTTTTGAGGTTTAGATGCTATCCCATAGCCATTACTAGCGACTTATTGAAAATGTATCGACAAGTTCAAATTCATGATGAAGATCGCGATTACCAAAAAATATTTTGGAGAGATGATCCATCGAAGCCGATTAAAACTTACAGGTTGTGCACAGTTACGTACGGCACTACTTCCGCTTCATACCTGGCTACTCGCGTACTCAAACAACTAACAATTGACGAAGGAACTAAATTCCCAAAGGCAGCTGAAATAATATTACACAATTGTTATATTGATGATGTCCTATTTGGTTCAGACACAGTAGAAGACGCAGTAGAGTTAATTTCACAACTGAGTGAACTTTTACAAAAAGGTGGCTTTCAATTGCATAAATGGTGTACTAAATGATCGCTCGATTTTGGAAACTGCTTTGAGTGCTCGGAACTCAAATTCTTCATGTACAGTAGTTGATACTAAATCAATAAAATTATTGGGTTTGGAGTGGTATCCAACGCAAGACGAGTTTACTTGTCACTTTGGAAATCTCGAAAACAGAGAGTGTTCTACTAAAAGAATAATTTTATCTTCTATTTCGAAAATCTTTGATCCACTTGGTTGGTTAGCACCTTTTATAGTTGCAGCAAAAATCTTGCTTCAAGACATATGGAAATTACAAATCTCGTGGGATGATCCCTTGCCAGATGAAATCAATCAAAGATGGAAAATCTATTGTGAAGATATCGCAAATCTTGAATGCATTCATATTCCTAGGAGAGTATTATTGCCCAAATCTACAAATGTAGAACTTCATTGTTTCTGTGACGCATCAGAGAAAGCTTACGCCGCAGTGATTTATTTAAAGTCTTCAAATCATTCTTCAATTTCGGTGCAGCTACTAACATCAAAAACTCGCGTAGCTCCCCTGAAAGTAATCTCTATTCCTCGTTTAGAACTCTGCTCTGCAGTTCTATTAGTGCATTTGGTTCAAGCTGTGCAGAATTCATTGCAAATTCATGTTGACAGTATTTACGCATGGAGTGATTCAATGATAGTTTTGTCCTGGATACAATCAGAACCAACACGCTGGCAAACATTTGTAGCCAACCGCGTTTCAGAAATTCAATCAGTCTTACCTTCATCGCATTGGAATCACATAAA